TGTGTGTGAGTGTGTGTGTGAGTGTGTGTGTGTGTGTGTGTGTGTGTGTGTGTGGGTGTGAGAGTGAGTATGTGTGTGTGAGTGTGTGTGTGAGAGTGAGTGTGTGAGTGTGTGTGTGAAGGTAATTCATCTTTTGGTTTTGCTGCACCAGCTCTTTAAAGTAGGGATGCATGATATATTGGGGCGACTACACAGATTCTAAACTAATTTTTCACATTTCTGTGATGATTGTCCGGGGAAAATTCTCTGAACTTTATGACATACATATGGAAGCTTGTTTCTGCCATGGGATAAAAAACAAAATAAATAAAAAGTAATTGCAAATTATTTATTTCAATTTGGACTGCCTTTCTTACTATTCCAAATTTATCTCATATTTATGATTTTTCCCCATCAGAATTCTGAGTTTATGTCTTGCAATTAAATTATTTAGTTTTTAGTAATTTTAATTTTTTGTTTTATTTTCATTTTTATTTAAAAATTATTATTTTAAATTTGAATTTGTTTTGATTTAATACATTTTTTGTGATTTTTTTTGTATTGTTTTTTATTATTTTAAATGTATATTGTTATTTAATTTGACCAAGTGTTTTATTTTTTATAGTTCTTTAGTTCTTCATTGTAAGTTGACATTTTTATGATTGAATATTTTTTTAATTGTTGTATTTTTATTTTTAAATTAATTATTATTAGTTTAATCTTAATTGTTTTCAATTCTAAAGCAATTAAAAATCAGCTATTAAAAATCATCAGTTATTGAAATAAAGCTAAAATAAAGTAAAATATAGATATTGAATGAAAAACTTGAACTTAAAAAGACCTACATGAAATAAGATGAACAAGCTGAAGGACTAAAATGTTTAAAACAAAAATGTAAATAAAAATAAATTGAAGCTATTTAGAAATAAAAATAATTTAGAAATAAAAAATAATTTAGAAATGTAAAATCCCAAAGCTATTAAAAAAGTTGATATCTGTTCAAATGTAATTGACTGCTTTGATGCAGCGCTGAATTTTCAGCATCATTACTGCAGTCTTCAGTGTCACATGATCTTCAGAAATCATTCTAATATGCTGATTTGCTGCTCAAGAAACATTTCTGATTATTATCAATGTTGAAAACAGTTCATATTTTTGTGAAAACTGCCATACATTTCATTTTTCAGGATTCTTTGATGAACAGAAAGTTCAAAAGAACAGCATTTATGTATCTTTTGTAACATTATAAATGTCTTTACTGTGACTCTTGATAAATGTAATAAAAGTGTTAGTTTGTGAATGTCAGTTTGGTGTGTAAGTCTCTCTTCGTCTCTGGCTCCTGCAGCAGAATCGGGTCGTCGGTGCCATGCAGTTGTTCTCTGTGGACCGGAAGGTTTCTCAGCCCATCGAGGGTCACTCGGCTGCGTTTGGACATTATAAACTGGAGGGAAACCCAAACGCTTCCACGCTCTTCTGCTTCGGCGTCAGAGGGCAGGCTGGAGGAAAGGTGGCATTAGACGGCATCACATTCATACGGTGTTTCTGTGGTTTTTCTGGAGTATAAAGCTGGATTTTGTCTTCTCCAGCTGCACATCATCGAGGTCGGTCAGCCTCAGACCGGTAACCAGCCGTTCACTAAGAAAGCAGTGGACGTGTTTTTCCCTCCTGAAGCACAGGCGGACTTTCCTGTGGCCATGCAGGTCAAACCTTTACCATGCTATAGAGACATTAGTCACTTTTGGAAGTAAAAACTCCATTCATTTTCTCCATAGAGAAATTGATTTTTAACGAAAACTGATAAACCCTTAAAGGTCCCGTATTGTCAAAACTGAAATTTCCTGGCTTTTTTCATGATAACTGAGGTCTAGGTGCTATGTAACTACCATATAAGTTTCAAAACAGTCAGTCCACAGTAAAATGCACACAGCCTGCTTAAAGTAGCTGTGATTTTTCACGAACCATTGTGACTTCCGTAAAAAGTTGACGTCAGAACTACACAGTCACCGCCTTCAGTCACCACCCCGAGCACCGCCAAACCCCCAGACAAGATCGGCTGACCTGTAACGTTACACTCTCACTCAGAGGATGGACGATCTGACAGGATTGTTACTATGAGGTGGATCACATCTAACGTGTATAGTAAAGACAAACTCACCGTGTCTATCTAGTCATGATGAAGATGTATATACATTTCAATTTCAGCAGGCAACTATTTTTACAGCTACATTATTGTTCCAGCCACAATTAATCACAACAATGTATATACAATTACAAATGATTATATATAAATTGTCAGTTTGTTGTTTTATACACATGCACACAGACATTATTTCATACACGACATAGTCATGAGATGCAAGAAACATAGACATATGGCAAGAAATCTGTAGACGCGCCCATAACAACAAAAGACAATACTTTATTACCTTTTCTGATAAGAAGTGTGCGCTGCAATCGCGAGCATTTTTGATGATCGTTTCTGTCTAGTCTGCTCGTTTTATCGTGTTTAACCACAGCTGTCGTCGGTTTTTTGTCTGGCAGTGGTAGCAGATATGTGATCAGATTTCTAATTTGAGGCTGTATTACGTCGATTCTGGCACCCAACATCACAACAAGATGATATTTTAAGCTCCTTATGTAGCCGAATCTGCGCTGGTTTGAATGGGCCGCCTCCAGTTTCCCCTTTGTTTGCTGCCTCCAGCTAGCGCTGTGACGTCGCTGACCCTAGTTACCTGTGGTTGGCCTGGCCATGCGTCACTCAGAAAACAACAGGCCAATCAGAAGAGAGGCTCATGAATATTAATTAGACAGGCCAAAATCGACCTGTTCTCAGCAGAGCTCCTGAGAGAGGAGCTGTAAAAATATATTGAGATGGTTTTTGGTACTTATACCGCAAATATATATTCGTAAGGACATCAAGACTTAAAATAAAACTCCAGAAAGGTGTAAAATATGTGACCTTTAAGACAGAGCTGTTGTGAGCTCAGAGGTTGTTAATCATTTGTATGTGCTTTTGCTGAAGCCATCTGTTCACATTAACTTGATTTTAAAATAATCATGTTTACAGTTTTTTTCAACTGCTTACATTTTCAAAACTTTGCCTCTTTTTTCAAAACTTTACGCACAAATGCAAGAATTGCACGCACAAAATGCAAAATGCCTCACATCTCTTGCAAAATGAAGCACTGCATTCAAAATATCACAAACACATCTCAAAAGCAAACATTTGCAAACACCTTTGCCATAATATTAATTCCTCTTAGATTTTTGTGTGTTGCATGGAGAATTGTGTGTTGTGTTTTGCAAAAAGTGTTTTATGAAATTGAAAACTGAGTCAAAGGCCGAGAATTAGCGTATGGTTTTGCAGATTTGGTGTGAGGTTCTGCTGTTTGAGTGTCAGCTTTCAGAAATTGTGTGACAAGTAAAGATTTTGTGTGTAAGCAGTTGAAAAAAACTGTAATAGCAGAATTCATGGTAAAAACTACATTACCCATGATGCTGTACAGAAATTCCACCAATCAGAGAGTTGCAACACGCAAAGTGCACCAAAAGAGATCTTTAGCTCCGCCCCCCTCCCATGAAACATCATGATGTAATCAAGCTGGGGTCCCCATGCTCTCAAAATACTTAAATGCATATTTTGCAGTAAACTTTAAATATATAATATCTATAAATGCAACTTTACATTAGTAGTTTTATATTTCTCTATCGTATTTAATTCAATTATGTTATTCAGTGCTGGGTAGATTACTTTCAAATTGTTGTCCGTTACTGATTACAGATTACATGATGAAAATTGTAGTTAGTAACATAATCTAGTTTACTTATTTTCGCTATTTGATATCAACATCATAATGTGCATTAAACGGGCAGTGGGTTTGAGAGTTAATAAAAAGCTAATATTTAATTCACTCATAAAAATGTAAAATAAAATTATATATAAAAAACAAAATTAAACACTAAAAATAGTTTAATTTGTTTACCTGCATGTTTATGTGACCATTAACCTATATCAGAAAACTGTGAGCATGCAAATGTCTTGCTAAATTATTGAAATATTAATTTCCTCAGGGATATTTCAACTAAATGTTTTATGTCAAAGTGGTTTGGCTGAAGAAAAAAAGTTTTGGGAATCCCCGCATTACATGAACAAATATTAATAAAACAGCGGTGGCATCACACGTCTATAGTAATAGTATGACACACTGTAGGATTTTTAGAAAGGAAACTTTAAAAGAGAAAAAAAGAAGAATTAGGGAAAATCAATAAATTATGAATAATTTGCTGCCTTTTTGTTTGTAATCATGTAACCAATAAAAAGTAACTGTAATCTGATTATGAGCATTTTAAAATGTAATATAATCTAATTACAAGTACTTAATTTTTGGAATCTGATTACTGTATGTAATCCAGATTACATGTAATCAGTTACTACCCAGCACTGGTCTTTCGCAATGCTTCATGGGATTGTAGTTCTTTCTCTCATTTAAGTAGTTAAGTTCACATTATCTTTGTCTATCTGTCCAATTTTCAAAAACGTTTTTGCTTCAAATCAAAGTTTATAGTGTTGTGATTCTCCTTGTAGCTGTTTGGTTTGGTTCATATCTTATAACGCTTTAATGTAGACTCTTTTAAAAGTCCCTATGGGAAAAATGAATGGTAAAAATACTTCCATTAAAAGTACTGGCACTGATGCACTCTATTACCTGATGACAGAAGAGTTACTGATCACATGTTGAATTATGTTCACTCCTGTGTTTTCTCTCTCAGATCGGCACTAAGCACGGCGTCATCTACCTCATCACTAAATACGGTTACTTTCACATGTATGATCTGGAGTCGGGCGTGTGTATTTACATGAACCGCATCAGTGCTGAAACCATATTCGTCACGGCCGCTCACGAGAGCACATCTGGGGTCATCGGGGTCAATAAGAAGGGGCAGGTACACACATCTGTACACACAACACTGAAAACTGTGGCTTGCACAAGTAAATAGGACAAAAGCATTAAGAGAATGCATGCTTTAACACGCTCAAAATTGCTTCTGGTGTCCAGCATTGTGCATTTTATGTCCTTTACTGATGCATGAACACATAAATCTTAATCAAGAACTGAACTGGGTTTGTCTCTTATTATAAGCTACATCTTTTGTTTATTATACTCATAGTTAGCGTTCTGTTTACGGTACATCATAATAAATTGATTGTTTTGTAAAAGTTGAAATTGCACTGCCATATAATTTAAAAAATGCCATAATTACATCTCTCTATCTGTCGGTCGGTCGGTCTAAATATATAACTAAATATAAAATAATACTTAAAACTATATAAATATAATAATCAAATACAATAATTAAAAAAACAGCTTTTAAAAAGACAATTGACCAATCAGAATAAAGTATTCCAAAGTTATAATTATAATGAAATTATAATCATAAATAAGCAAATAAATAAGATTAAATTGTATTATTATTATTATTATTATTAAAAAAAAAGGTTTTAAAATAACAATTGGTTTAGATTTTCCGCCCAATCTGTCCAAAAGTTTCAGTTTTCAAGGATATCCTCTTTTCTTCTCTGTGCGTGGTCAGTTACTCCAAGTGTGTCACTAATGTGTGTGTGTGTGTGTGTGTGTGTTTAGGTGCTGTCGGTGTGTGTGGAGGAGGAGAACGTAGTAAATTACGTGACTAACGTGCTGCAGAATCCCGAGCTGGCGTTGCGTTTGGCGTTACGCAGCGATCTTCCCGGAGCCGAGGAGCTCCTGACACACAAGTTCAACACGCTCTTCTCTCAGGGCAGCTACACCGAAGCGGCTAAAGTCGCTGCGTCGGCTCATTACGTTTCTACAATATTTAGTAGTAGCTTATCAGTGGTGACTGTCAGTTAATGTATATATATTGTAGTAATGTACATAGATTAGCCTATACTGTCTTAATAGCATAAACACAGGCTTCACTCCCTTCTTTTTCTCTGTTTCTCAGGGTGTGTTGCGAACGGCAGAGACGGTTCGGCGGTTCCAGGCCGTCCCGGCGCAGGGGGGCCAGCCGTCTCCGCTGCTGCAGTATTTCGGGGTTCTGCTGGACCGCGGGCAGCTCAATAAGCTGGAGTCGCTGGAGCTCTGCAGGCCGGTGCTGCAGCAGGGACGAACACAGCTGCTGGAGAAATGGCTCAAGGGAGAGAAGGTGCCATATTCATTACTCTTTCCCATTTATTACTTATCAACTCATTCATTTCTTTCAGTTTATCTGTGCATTTATACAGCATGGAAAATAAAAGTTAAGTTTAGACGACATTTTTTGACAGATTAAACAAAACGACCCACCCACCACAGATAATACATTTGAAGTTTTTATTTAAATAATAATTTTTTTTAAATGACTTAAAATATGTAATTTGTAAACAGTATTTTTTACAAGTGTTATCTTCAGCTTAAAGTTTTGAAGTGAAATGTGACCCTGGAGCACAAAAGCAGTCTTAAGTCGCTGGGGTATATTTGTAGCAATAGCCAAAAATACATTGTATGGGTCAAAATTATAGATTTTTCTTTTATGCCAAAAATCATTAGAATATTAAATAAAGATCATGTTCCATGTAGATATTTTGTAAATTTCCTAACGTAAATATATAACTTAATTTTTGATTAGTAATATGCATTGCTAAGAACTTCATTTGAACAACTTTAAAGATGATTTTCTCAATATTTAGATTTTTTTTGCACCCTCAGATTCCAGATTTTCAAATAGTTGTATCTCAGCCAAATATTGTCCTATCCTAACAAACCATACATCAATGCTTATTTATTCAGCTTTCAGAATATGTATAAATCTCAATTTCAAACAATTGACACTTAAGACTGGTTTTGTGGTCCAGGGTCACAAATTTAAATTGTTGTGCATAATTTGTCAATAAAGGAATGATCAGTTGACATTATCTTTTCTATTTAAATTGTATTTTTTTCTCTGTTTAAAAAGGGAGTTGGCTAATCAAATGCATCTCGAATATTTTGAGAAGAATTTTATTTTTATGCATGAAATATGCACTTGATTGGCCAAGGTTTATAACACTTAAGTTCTTTTAGCATAATTTGTATAGTTTTATAGCATTTCTTTTATTATTTAGTATTTATTATAGTTTTGAATTCTCTTTTAATTTTATATTTTAAAGTATTTTAAGTTTCAGTCATTTTGTAGCGCTTTTCAGAATCAGAATCAGAATGAATCAGAATGAGCTTTATTGCCAGGTATCCTTATTTACTTGTTCTATTTTTTATTCTTCTTTTATTATCTGTGTTTTTTGTTCTGTCGCGGCCATTCTGTTGCACTGCGGAAGCTTCTGTCATGAAAACAAATTCCTCGTATGTGAAAATGATGAGGTATGTTTACACATACGAGGAATTTGTTTTCGTGACAGAAGCTTCCACAGTGTAACAGAATGACAGTGACAGAACAAAAAAAAACACAGATAATAAAAAATAAAAATAAGTAAAAAATTAAAAAAAATAGAACAAGCAAATAAGGAATAAAAATATACAAATCGACAATTGTATGTACAGGTATATAACAATAGACAGTTGTATGTACAGGTATATTATGTGCAAATTGAAATGTAGACTGAGTATGTGTGTTAGATAAATAAGTGTATGTGCACGAGTTCAAAGCGACTCTAGCCGAACATGCACGTCTGTGCCGGCATTTGTGTGAAACAGAAGCAGTTAATGTTAAGTTCAGTCACACACACACACAGATCACGCTGCGGCCGCACTCAAGACATTCAGGAACTAACTAACTAACTTTTTAGCGCTGCCCCGCAGTTTTATCAACTAAATAGCTTAATCGCTCAAGAGCTACATTATCTTTCTCAACAGGGCCAGCTGTATCGATACTCGTATCGTCAAATCTCTGTGACGATACATCGTCGTATCGATATTTTGAACACAGCACTAGTAATTTTAGTGCTTCAGCTGAAACGTATTTATTTCATTTAGTTGCCAAGGCAACGTTTTCATTTAAGTTTAAGTTTAAATTTTTCATCTAATATTTTTATTCTAATCTTACCTAATATATTTTAATTTGATTTCAGCTTGGTTTCATTGCCGTTTTAGTATTAGTTAACAATGACTTTTGAGGGTTGGATTGTTGCCCTGTCTATTATAGTATTTATAAATTTTTTTGAATGAGCTTTTTATATAACGTTCAGTTTTCATTAAAATTTTGTTTTTATTTTTAATTTAAATTTTTAGGTTTTACTCATTTTGTTGTGTACTTTTTAAATTTATAGTAGTTTTTTTTAATTTATTTTTAATTTCTATATAGATTTTTATCTTAGTTTTAGTGTTCCAACTGAAACTCATTTATTTCATTCAGTTGTCAAGGCAACATTTAGGCAACATTAAGTTATATTAAGATGAAGTTTTTATGAAGAATATTTATATGTATTTTTTTGAGCTTTATTTCAGTTACCCAAAACGGTTTGTTAAGTATTTGAAGTATTAGATAACAATAACAACACTGAAAGTGACTCTTGAGTGTTGGATTGCCGTCTGGTTAGTGATGTTTTTTTCCCATGATGCCCTGCAGCTGGAGTGCTCGGAGGAGTTGGGTGATCTGGTGAAGGCGGCTGACGTCACTCTGGCCCTCAGCGTTTACCTGCGAGCGAATGTTCCTGCTAAAGTCATCCAGTGCTTTGCTGAGACGGCTCAGTTCCAGAAGATAGTGCTCTATGCTAAGAAGGTACCTGCGTTCCCTTCAAAGACTCTATTCTGCCCTCATCTGTGTCTCTGCTCTGCTGTGATTGACGTGTTGTTTTCGGGGCAGATGGGATATTCTCCAGACTGGGTGATGCTGTTGAGGAGTGTGATGAGATCCGGTCCTGATCAGGGCCTTCAGTTCGCTCAGATGCTGGTTCAGGATGAAGAGCCGCTCATCAACATCAGCCAGGTATCAAACACGGACATTTCAGTGAAATCGATCTAGTGCACTTAAATGTTTGTGTCCCTTCATATTCACTTTCTAGTTAACTAAAACTAAAACCATAAAAAATATATTTTTTTTTTACTTTAAATAAACTTTAACTTGGAAAAAAATACAGATATATTTAAAATAAATAAATAAATAAAATAAACAGGACAAAAACTCGCTAAAATAAAAACAGAAAATATAAAAATAAAAACGAGCTAAAACTTTAATTAAAATTAAAATGAAACGCAAAATATAAAAATAAAAACAAGTTACTAACTTTAAAATGAAAACAGAAAATATAAAAATTACTTACTAAAACTTTGTTTATAATTAAAATGAAAACAGAAAATGTAAAAATAAAAATGAGTTACTAAAACTTTAAAATTAAAATAAAAACCAAAAATATAAAACTAAAGACTAGTTACTAAAACTAAAGTACAATTAAAATTAAAACAGAAAATATAAAAATAAAAATTAGTTACTAAAACTTTAATTAAAATTAAACAAAATCTAAATATAAAACTAAAAATGAGTAGCTAAAACTTTAACGAAAATTAAAATGAAAACATAAAATATAAAACTAACAACGAGTTACTAAAACGTAATTAAAATGAAAATAAAAACAGAAAATATAAACAGAAAATCTAGTTACTAAAACTTTAATTAAAATTAAAATAAAACTAATTTGAAATATTAATAAAAACAATAACAGGATCTCTAAAAATAGCACTGCTCCACACCGTGACTGCGCTCATCACTGACCCTTTGTGTGTGTTTGAGGTGGTGGATGTCTTCATGGAGGGGAATCTAGTGCAGCAGTGTACTTCATTCCTATTGGACGCTCTGAAGAACAACAGGCCGGAGGAGGGGCCTCTGCAGACACGCCTCCTGGAGATGAACCTCATTCACGCCCCTCAGGTGAACCAATCAAACACACCGAAGCTCATGCTGCCTTCACGGCATAATTATACTAAGATGATGAGCCATCATGAGTACCACCACATTATTATAATAATGTCTGAGAAACCTTTTAACTTGAACCAGAGTTTTTTTTTTTTTTTTTCTATTTTTAGTTTTAATTTTATTTATTTATTTTTTAATTTTGACCATTTAATTGTTTTTATTTTAGAATTATTTATATTGTATTATAGTATTTATAGATGTTTGTTATTTTTATATTTATGAAGTTTATTTATAAATACTTTTAAAGTTTTAGTGATTTTGTTATGTGCTTTTGTCATTTTTATTATTATTTTTTTTTTTTTTATATTTAGCTTTATATTAACGATATTAACATTTTTTTCAGTTTTAAGTGAGTTTTTCCATCTAATATTTATATTTTCATTTTAATGTTATTTCAATTAATGCAAACAAAAATGTAATAAAAATGTAATTTTTTAAATTTTTTGTTAGCTAAAATTAATAGCACTGCAGAGAAATGTCAATGTAAATTTAAAAAAATCACACTGTAAACATGAATGTTTAGTTTGTATGTTTTGCATTTTTTTGATGAAGTTTATCTTATTTTTAGCCTAGCTTAGCTCTTTCATACTCAACAAGTGAGAGAGTCCAAAAACACTTTAAATGCACATTACATCATAATTTTGATTTTGAACCTTGGAACTTCGAAAACCAAAAGCCTATCTCTACAAGACTTTTGGCTGTTGTGTTTATTATCTGCGTGTGTTTGCAGGTCGCAGACGCGATCCTGGGGAATCAGATGTTCACTCACTACGAGCGTGCTCACATCGCTCAGCTGTGTGAGAAAGCCGGTTTACTGCAGAGAGCTCTGGAGCATTACAGTGACCCTGACGACATCAAACGGGCCGTCGTACACACACACCTGCTCAACCCCGAGGTGTGTCTGTGTGTGTGAGAGCTAAAGGACTCCGGAAGTGCATTTTTATGTGATTTTATAATGTTTCCTGAGTCATAATTTCGATCGTTTTCTACCCTGAATTTCGCCTCCGATTTGTTTGATTCGTCTGAAGGGGCGTGTCAATGGAAATGCCCACTGCTGTGATTGGCTAACATCTTTGCATATTAAATGAGCATTACATGTGGAACTCTTTTGAAAACTTTTGCTGCATTTTTACTGTAACAGCCGCCAAGATGAACACATCATGAACAGTGTTGATTATAACATTATATTTAGAGCATCAAAGGTTGCAATATAAGTCAAATAAAATTATTTTTTTGTATTTTTACTATAAAATAATTCGTATTTTTATTTAATGCTCTTTTGAATTTTAAAATATAATATTATCACGCTTGAAGTTTTTGTTCATTATTTAAAAAACAAAATAAAGTGCAATAATACTATTATCACTATTATTAATTATTTACATTTTTACAGTTATATTTAACGAGTCGCACTATGTGCAGTGTGAGTACCAAACCAAATCTCCAGAATGGAAAACATATGTGCATCCCTGCGATAGACTACTATACTCCGCCTACAATTATAAATAGAATTGAATAGTTGATTGTTTAGTCACTGGGTTGATTCACGAATGCATAAACAGCAGTAAAACACTTTGCGACAAAGAACATCTGTACATGAGCCTTTATATAGTACACTTATTTATATATTACACATGAAATGCAGTTTCAGATTTTTATATTATGTTTCTCGAGGTTAGTTTGTAAAGATAACAGTTTTTTGCAACAAAAAAGGTCTTTATTTTCTTAACAATAGTATCGACTTTTTTTGATGGATTGATGGAGTTTTTTTCAGAAACTCCTCCTTGATTATATATGCTGATGATGCATGTTGAGGGGAAATTGTGATGTCATGATTCTCCCGATTTCACATCCTGGCTTCTCAGAAGTGTAGAAAACAATAATTCATATTAAAATGAGGAGTTTGTTTTGTGAACAGAAAATTTTAAATTCAAATTTTTACATTTTTTAATTAAAATGTTTACATTTTTTAATTAAAATTTTTTAATTTTTTAAATTAAAATTTTTAAATGTTTAAATTCACCTTTTTTAATGTTTAAATTTTTTTTTTTTTTAATTCAAATTTGTAATTTTTTTTAATTCAAATGTTTACATTTTTAAATTCACATTTTTTAATGTTTACATTTAAAATGTAATTTTTTTATTCAAATTTTTTAATTTTTTTAATTCAAATTTTTTAAATTTTTTATTCCAATTTTTTAATGTTTAAATTTTTACATTTTTTAATTCAAATTTTAAATTTTTTTTAATTACATTTTTTATTTTTTTATTAAAATTTTTACATTAAAATTTTTTTAAGTTTAAATTCACTTTTTTTAAACAATTTTTACATTCAAATTTGTTAATTTTTTATTCAAATTTTTCCTTTTTTCAAATTTAAATTTTTAAATTCAAATTCAAGAAAGAATGAATAAAGTTATTGTCTGTCAGAGCAGTATTGAACATTTAGTGTTGTTTTTCTTCTCTTTCTCCGTCAGTGGCTGGTGAATTTCTTTGGCTCTCTGTCTGTCGGCGACTCCGTCGAGTGTCTGAGGGCCATGTTGGCTGCAAACCTGCGTCAGAACCTGCAGCTGAGCGTTCAGATCGCCACCAAGTACCACGAGCAGCTGGGAACACAGACGCTGGTGGAGCTTTTCGAGTCGTTCAAGAGCTACGAGGGTGAGACGCTCACGACCGCATGTGTTTGTGAGGGTGGTGTGCTGAATGAGTCCTCATTTCTGTGTGTCTCGCTCAGGTCTGTTTTATTTTCTGGGCTCTATCGTGAACTTCAGTCAGGACCCCGATGTGCACTTCAAGTACATTCAGGCGGCGTGTAAGACGGGGCAGATCAAAGAGGTGGAGCGCATCTGTCGAGAGAGCAGCTGCTACAACGCCGAGCGCGTCAAGAACTTCCTCAAGGTACTCGAGAGAGAAACCAAGCTCATTGATGCATTCAGTTCGAACAAATCTGTCAATAAATCCAGTTCAATGCATCTGTCTTCATATATGTGACTTTTATTGGTGTAATTGTTAAACACACAATATTAACAGAAGCATTAATACAGATGATGAGTTATGATAATACAAATAATAATAACACCAACAAAAAACTCATTCAGAATTAGATCACATTTACATTTTTAAATCAAATTAACAATTTATTTTAATTTATTGTGTTTCATTAAATTAATAATAATAAAATTAAACATTAACTATAACTTATATTTACATTTTTACATTTAATTAACCTTTTATTTTAATTAATTGAATGAGTTGAATTGAATAAATAACAATAAAATAAACATTCAACATTAGCTTACATTTACATTTTTAATGTAATAATTTACAGTGTATTTTTAATTAATTAAAATAAATTAAACGAATTAATAACAATAAAATAAACCTTTAACATTAGCTTATATTTGCAGTTATTAATTTAACTAGTAACAATTTATTTTAATTAACTGAATTAATTTGAACTGAATTAATAACAATAAAATAAACATTAAAGTTAATTAGTTAAAATTAACCATTTATTTTAATTTAACTAATTAAATTGAAGTAATGACTATAAAACAAACATTCAATGCAGCTTAATGTACATTTTTTATTTAATCATTAACAATTTATTTTAATTAATTAACAATAAAATAAACATTCAACATTAGATTATATTTAAATTTTTACATGCAATTATTAACAGTTTATTTTAATTGACTAAACTGAATTTAACTAATAACAATTAAGGGTGTATTCACACCAGAAAAGTCCGCTAGTTCACTTGCTTTGGTCCGGACCAAATACAATGTTGATTTTTTTTGTTTGGTGCGGTTCGCTTTCACACTGCCCTTTTTTGCAAGTGAACCAGAAATTATAAACAAAACCACACGTGTGCTAGGGTCATCCATTTACTGGACAGAAATTCTCAAGCAGTGAAAAACAGGAAGTGCAAAAACAGGCTAATCATGGAGATCTTTCGTAGTGCAATTTTTATTCTTTTACTGATTTGGTGTTATCAGATAATAACGCAATGTGAGGAAACTTATGAGCATCATATGAGACAATGTCATACGATGCTGTAATTACGACTTGCCGAAAATAAAATCTATAGATATAAAATACTTAAAGTCCCTATGAAATCAAAATGAAAGTTTTTTGGGTGTTAGTATCAATATGTTAGTCTTAAGGTGATCTATAAGGCAGTGTGCTCCAAAACAGTGACAAAATTCGCATTTAGAAGATATAAGCATTCAAAGCTTGCAGTTCGTCACTTCCGCCAAAACGGCTCAACGATTTTTTTGACGTCACATCGTACTTCAGCTTCTCATCAAACTTTCTGTCCAATCAAATGCTCTCTAGAATCCGAAGCCCCGCCCCCTACACTATAAAATAGACGCTGAAGCCGCGGCTGAAATCGGTCACTTGTCCACAGAATTAGTATTTTCTGTACAGTGAATGGCACGTAGTGCACTATATAGGGGACAGGGAACGATTCAAACAGTGTAAATATGCTTTCCATTGAAGAAAAAAAGAAGTCTGGTTTCGCGCTGCGTCACGCTAACCGCGGTGCGCACACACACTCTGCTCCGGTCCAGAGACACGATAGCACGAAGCGGATCACATGCGCAAATCAGCGCAGACCACAAAATGTATCGGAGCTATTTGAATTCTACACAGAATGCTGGTCACGAAAACTCATCATTTGCATGTGTTTTTAAGCATTGTGGTTTAAAAACAAGTGATTTAAGCCATTGAAACGCAAACAACAGCATTATATGCGCGAGCTGTCTGATTGCTGTATTCACACCTGCCAAAAAGGTCTGCACCAAGAGGGGAAACAAACTTGAGTTCGATTCAATCGAACCAAACAAGACAGGTGTGAATACACCCTAACATTCAAGACTGGCTTAAATTAAAATTTTTATTTTAATGAATGATTTTAATTCAGTTGAATTAATAAGAATAAATTATTCAACCTTAGCTTACATTTACCATTTTTAATTTAATCGTTAACAGTTTAATTTAATTTATAACAGTCTCCCCCTTTTTGCATTTCTCTTTGATTATGATTTGTATAATAATTAATCATATAATAATTGTTTATGAATTGTCTCACACTCTACTGCTTTGATTATATAAATTACAGTAGAATATAGCTTTATTTGTGATGCCAGTAAACTCATCAGATGGACTATGGACTTGATTTGTATTTGTAATCAGGTTTTTGTTGTGTTGTTGCACAGGAAGCCAAACTCACCGATCAGCTTCCTCTCATCATCGTGTGCGACCGCTTCGATTTCGTCCACGACCTCGTGCTCTACTTGTACCGTAACAGCCTGCAGAAGTACATCGAGATCTACGTACAGAAGGTACAGCGAGAGTCCTGAGCTCATCACGCACACACACACACACACACACACACACACACACACGCTGCTGATCTGGAGAGTTCATATGTGTGTGTTTGCGCTGCTGCAGGTCAATCCCAGCAGGCTGCCGGTGGTGGTCGGGGGTCTGCTGGATGTCGACTGCTCCGAGGACACCATCAGGAGTCTGATCCTCGCCGTACGAGGAGATTTCAGCACAGACCAGCTGGTGGAGGAAGTGGAGAAAAGAAACCGGTAGAACTGATCCCGTCCTGTCCTTTTTCTTCACCCGCTGCTTCTCTCAAGATCAAAACACACAATTTCACATGAAAAAGGCATTTTTTTTCTAGCAGTGAAGTGAAAAGTCATTAGATGCATTGGATATTTATGATATATTTCTAATATAATATAATATAATATAATATGTGACCATAAGGGTCAAATTTTCAAAATTGAGATTTATACATCATCTGAAAGCTGAATAAATAAGC